GGTTTCAATTGTGGGTGGTTTTTTTCCTCCTAGAGCCGAGGTGGTGCAGTGGTTAAATGCAGCACTGCAGGCTACTTCAGCTGTTCAAATCTCACCGGCTCAGGGTTGCCTCAGCCTTCCATCCTTCCGAGGTGGGTGAAATGAGGACCCGGATTGTTGGGGGCAATATGCTGACTCTGTAAACCGCTTAGTGAGGGCTGAAAGCCCTATGAAGCGGTATATAAGTCTCACTGCTATTGCTATTGCTATTTAACTCTCAGTTCACTAAAATAAAGTGCCCTCTAGACTTTTATGACTACATAATAACAATATATTTCTAAATGATAAAATATAAGATTGCATCAACACCAGTCATGGAGGACAAAAAGTTTGCAGGCAGCATAAATCATTCAAAAGCCATTAGGTAATTTGAAGGGAAACACTCCTTTTTACATACCAGAGATAACTAATCTCTATTATTTAATTGATCCCTACCCAGGACCTCAGCTTGTTAGAGGTATTTTTTTCATTTCAGCATTTACCTCTTGAACAAATGGAAAGAAGGGGTAACTTAGGCAGTTTAATCTCAAAATGATGGATGTTGTTGATGCATCAGATTGCTACCTCATAGGTGATACTTACCTATTGAAATGCCAATTAGCTTCCAATAGGGTCCTTAGCAGTTAGCTTTATTTTTGTAAAATAAACGGTGACATGGTATATAATATGTCGTGGATTGTTTTTCATCTGAGGATGTATTTACCTACTTTTAAGAACTGCTAAGGCCAGATGATTTTTATTATGTCCTGTTATGTAAAACCATAGAACTCAAAGAGGATGTTCTTTCTTTTTCACATGACTGTATTTTTATATTTTTGTAACTTTGATTAGTAATCATTTGTTTTCAATGTCATTTATATTTACTATTGACATTTTTACCAACAGTGGATGTTTCCTGTTAACTATGTTGTAAATCGCCATAAGTCTATATTGATTTGGCAGTAAATCAATATAATAAATATATTTTTTCTCACCAGAGATACTTTCACTTCATGATTTCCCCAAATATTCATTTTCATATTTCCTATTAGTATATTTCATATACTTCTTTGGCACTTGGTAATATATATTTTTTCTCTCCACTCCAAGCAGTTTACAATACAATAGCAGAATGTGAATGCCCCAACACTGCAAGTCTTTAAGAAAATGTTGGATAGACATCTGTCTAAAACGTTATAGGGTTTCCTGCCTAGGCAGGGGATTGGACTAAAAGACCTCCAAGGTCCCTTCCAACTCTGCTATTGTATTGTATTAATCATCTTTGTTGTTTCTATATCTATTTTCTTTAAATCCATTTTCCATTCAGTCTTTTGGAAGTTTCTAATACTTTTTCACTGACTTTTATTTTCTCCTCATGCAATCATTCTATTTTTTGACTTCTTCTACATCATGGGTGTCAAGAGAACACTTTTGACACCCATGTCATCATCAGGTTGCCGTCACATGACATTTTGTGATGTTTTTTCCCTTTGTGGAGCTGGGGTGGGCATGGCCTGTACATCATCAGGCCCACAGGACACCAGTTTGACACTCCTGTTCCACGTCTTTTAAAAAATCCTTTATTTTCAACATTCCTGACACCATTTAAAAATAATCTGTCCTGCATTCAGAATCTCTTATTATCTTCATAATAATTCTCTGTCTTTCATCAATATAAACCATATAATTAAACATGTTTAGACTTCCTTTCTTTTCCTTGTGTACCCATGGATAGTCTTATGTTCACACCATCTATTTAAAATTATAGGCCATTTTCCTAAACACATGCTCATCGTTCATTCTTTCATCATCTTCAGTTTTTTTACAATTTTATCTAGTTTCACAGACACATAATGTATCCACTTTTCTTTATTTAATTTCTCTGCCTAATTGATGTTCTTTACATTTGCTCTTATATAATATTTCAAGATTATCTCATGCTGTTTATCATCTACTTTTTTTACATTTGAGTTTCAATCTTCCATATGCCATATAGATATTGACTATCACCCAAAATTGCTTTGGCCAATAAATACTTTGCATAATATTTTTCAAAAAATAGTTTTACATTCCTTGTCTAAAGTAAATACAATACTGCTGATTGTCACCTTTTAATTAATATGTTGAAATGTAAACAACTCTCATGCTATTCTAAGACAGGCTCTTTGGACACTAATTTGCAAATCACCCTACTGTAGCACATATTCAGTCAAAATGGAGGTACATATTTTCTGATATGTAAGATGTTAAATAGTCCTGTTGCTAGGTAATGGATTGTTTTTCTCATTACAGCAATGAATATGAATGTTGATTCTGTGTATTAATATAGCAGTTTGTGTCTTGCTGAGTGACAGCAACAAATAGCATTATCTCGCCTCCCCCCATTTTTCTTTTTCACTAAGATGATTCATGAAAAGCTAATTTAATTTCTGTAGTTTTGTTCAGCAGGGGTCCAGCAATATGTAAAGCTGTTAATGGTCATGTAATAAGGACTTTCATTTTGAAAATTCTGTAATACTGTATTAAGGTAGGGGTTTTACTAGTCTTCTGACTAAATTTAGGCCCTGACTTGGTCAGGTGGACTAGGAGGGTTGCAATGGCCAATTATACAACCCGTATTTTGTTGTTGAGGGTGGGATTGTTGAGGTCAAGAAAATGGGACTACTGGGAGCAGAATTTACCCATATTGGTATTTTTCAGACCTTCAAGTCAGAAATCATACTTTTTATTATAATACATATATATATATATACCACATATATAACACAATGAAATCGAAGTACATTTTAATTTAATATATGTATATATTTAAAATCCCATCCTTATGTGTGCATAAAATGTAAAAATACATAAAACACACATGTATAAAATCCCATTTAGATTTAACGGAGATTCGCTTTTAAAAGACAACCCTTCCCATATTAGTCCACTAAATTGAAGATTTACTGTGTTCACAGTCAAGCAGTGTCTACCTGACAGGACTGAGTTCATTCAAAATACACAGATTTTCTAGAGCTTATAATTGGTCAGCCCCCTTACTCAGGGAGATCCAGGGAGCCATGCCTGCATATCTCTAGTAACCAGACTCCACTGTGCAACCTGTCTTTACTAAATGCTGAAGTTCTTGGGTTCAGAGGGCATTGCTTAGATCGATAGAAGGCAGGCAACTTATCTGAAAAGGAAAAAAGAATGTTTCCTTTCCCAACTACAGGTAAATTTAGCCTTAGAAGAAGGTGGCTTTGCAATGGGGTGGGTGGGCAAGCTCACCTTTTTGCAGGAGGTGGGAAAAGGTCAGTGATAGATTATTTCAGAGTTGGAAGAACATCTTAAGTCTTTCTATTAGTGCATTGTTTAATATAATACAGTGATAAAAAAGTATCAGTGGCTAATAGATGTAATTGTGATTATTAAGAATAGTTTTAGTTGCCACCTTTTAAAAAAATGATGTTACATTAAGAAAAAATACAGAAACAAGCAATAGTCATAAATAGTCATAAAGAGACCACAGCAATTTTTGAGATAAAAATATTTCCACTTTCAAATTTACAAAAGCTACAATAAAGGTATAGGAAATTATGTAAAATGCATATCTAGTTTTCTTTCAAAATGTTAACATGGAAGATTCAGAATAAATAAGACTAAGTCTTATGATGTCACCACATAATTTAAGTGGGGTATTTGTTACTAGAAGACATTCCTGGAAAGGATTTGCACAAACCTGAAAAGAGGATTAAAAATCTTCACAAGGAGTATGGCTAACAACAGTCTTTAGTCAGAAATTCTCCACCACCACCACCACCTCTGAATGTCATTGATTAGGGAACATCTGCAAAGACATCTCTTCTCTTTGTACTTTCCTTGTGAGCCTATCTTTGTGGAAAACTAAATGCTGGACCAGAGCCCTTTGTTCTGATCTAATACAGATGTTCCTGTTCTTTTAACAGTTGCTGTTCCCCCCCTCCCTGATGTTGGCTTCCTGAAACCTAGTTGCCCTCAAAAAGCTATTTTCCCAAATTACAAAGTTCTAGACCCTTTATGAGCCTAAACCACAGAGAAACTAATTAATAGTCAGAAGTCCAGGTTTTTCTCCTAAACCATGAAAATATCAGCAAGTTACTAAAGCAGCCTCTTTAATACCTGTGAGGTGACAAATCCCATAAATCCTACCTATAAGGCTTTTGGGAGGAACCATGTTGGAAAAAGCAATATCAACCAAGAACAACCAATTAGTTCATGATACAAAAATATCTTGAATGTCACGGCTGGGCAGCAGCTTATTTTCTGCATTGATATTAAGAACATTTCTCTTTTTGCCACAGATTGAGTAATTTTTTTTTATTTAACTCAATTTCCTATTTGCCCAGTTACCGAAATATGTACACCCTTCCATATTAGTGGCCATGTTAATCACAACAGACTATGGCTGCTACACATAGTGACTAACTTTGTGATAAAGAATCCATTTCAACACACTCGATTTATTGAAAGTTTAATAGCATGAATTAAATTGAACTGCAGGAGTCAGAACTGGAACTTTAAAAATAGATGACTTTCCAGGAGAAGCTGACTCAAAATGATCATATTGCCAAAAGATCATGAATGGGCCTGAGTGCTGCTATAAACCAGATAAATAAATCCCTTCATATTAGAGCGGAAAGTACAACTGAAGTTAGTTATGAAATAGTATACAATAGGAGTTAATGAAAATACGTATTATATATAACTTTTTTGCTATTGTGACTCCCAGAATGAATTCTGATATATAATTTTTAGATTTTGTCACAGTGCTCTGCTGTATCATTAGGCACCCATTATAATAGAATATAATGACGTTAGTAAACAAGTCTACTATTACTACATATAACATTGTAACTATACATGGTTTTCACCAACTGCATAACTCAAAATGCTTTTAGCATCATGTTGTTTGTGTGTTTGTGATTGGGAGAAGACTTTCAGCTAATTATTGCTCACTCCAAGCAAACTATAGGTGAAGACAGAATTCCAATTCATTCTGTTTCCAATTTCCCACCTGCTCCATGTCCTTCAGCTACCAGTCCTCTATGAAATACAGGTCTTACCTCTTTCTTCATGAGAAACAGGTTTAAGGTTTTAGGACTCTCCTCCCCAGGTCCATGCACTTGTCCACAAGGAACTGATTGTCTAGCAGCTTGCACAACGTTCCTTACAGTAGAAAATAGTTGAATAGAAAATTGATTTTTGAAATTAGTAACAAATGCATGAAAAAGCCTCAAATTCCTTCTGCTCCCCATTATGTGAGATCAGTTATCAGTGAATTAAAACACAATCAAAAGCAGTGAAGTGTGGTTTATTGAGAACATAAGTAAATAAATAAAACTGTAGACTGCGTGTGGACACAAAAGGTGGATTATAAGTGTATTCATTGGGGGAAAATATTCTGATGCTCACAAAATTTGCCAATCAGGGACAAAGTTAAGCTTACATTTTTCTCAACTGCTACTTTGTTCTTTATAGCGAATTTTCTCCATATGGACAAACATCTAATCATCTAAGTTATAAGTTACCCTTTGTGGCCAGTAGTATACTCCCAAAAGTGCAGGCATCATCATTAATTGGCTGTTTAAGAAAGCTGATCCCAGTGACTTACAGCTGGGTACAGTGCTAGCCTACAGCTATGAGAGTAATTATGGAGATCTTCCTGTACAAGGGAATATCTTTTTACTCCTGGATGAAAGTAATACCACCTTTGAAATAAATAAATGAGCCAGTGCTCATCCATATAAGAACTGACTTAAAAGAAGTACTATGACTTTAAATGCTTGTCCAGTCTTGAAGCTAAATAAGCTGTTTTCTCCATGAAGCTGTTGGCTTTTCTTAACATGTCAGAAAGTATAAGTATCAAAATAAGTACGGTACTTAGTTCTGATTCGTCTTCTAAGATATTAACATCCCCATATTGTGCATGTTAAAAAAAAAGAGGGAAAGCACACATTATTAGTAATAATCTGTTGTTCTGCCAGGCTAATTTTATTATGGTCAACAATTCAGCCAAATATTTGCACAAAAGAAGCCTATTTTTTATGTTGACATTTTTTTTACTGTGAAATAAAAAGAACTGTAAAATACAGAAGATATTTACTTTTCAAAAATGTTAATCCTTCTGGTTTATGATAGTTGATTTTTTAAAATATTCAGCTAAATGTCCAATCATTACTTTTGTAAATGGCTAGCTGATCTGTTTATGGTTCACATCCTCTTAATACAGTGCAAAGACTTCCAGCAACACTTTCAAGTATATTCAACACTGTTTTACTAAAATGGAGATTATAAAGCTTTTCTATGAACAGTTTCACAGAAATAGTACAACTATACAAAAAAGATAAGCCTTTTTAAAAGTATAGTCTCATGATGAAAATAAAATCTGAAAACAGATTTCCTTATTTTAAGATGATTGTATCTGTTTGGTAGCATAGCTTTGCAATTCAGTCTTACCTTTAGAAAAAATACAGATTTTAAGTGATGCAATACTTAGGATACAGTAAAGATACAGAAAAAAGGGGGTTTTTTTTCTCCCTGTGTTTCATTCTGTCTAGCTTTTTGCTTTTATTCCAAGTTCTTTCTGCTATATTTCTTTTTTCTCCTGGATGTACCTAAGACGACAAATGTATCTGAGAAATGGAGGGTGGGGGGAGGTACATTTTTTCTTCCTCTGTGTGATGTGTATAATGCTGGTGTCAGAAAAGCACAAATTCAGAATCATAGCTTCAGCAATAACAGTAGCATTCTAACCAATTAATATTTCACCATTTAGTCAAGTTGTTAACCTGGAATGTTCTTGTTTACATATATTTATAGGTAATATAAGAATACAGGCAAACGCTACGTACATTAGATTATGTAGTTTTTAAAAAACACTTTACATCACTTGACATACTTATCTTTTTGTCAACTGCATGAGCAAATGCCACAATAGTTGGGCTTTTGATTATCTTATTAGATACAATAACAAACTGTACAGAAAAAAATTGAATGTAAGTTTCAATGGGAGGGTCCCCAAAACCAGCACTAAATAATTTGAGGTTTTTAAAACAGCTCAGCACTGGCCATTTATAGGATCTGTGATACTGAATGAAATTTGTGTGGGGCTCATTTGTTGCAACTGAGGCATTCTTGCTTCCAGAGACTTTTCTGTGGGAGATCCCACTGACTGATTCCTTTTCCTCATCATCTGTCCAATGCCCATCATAGGGAATCGGCCTCTACTTTTCACACAATTAGGGCTCCCCAAAGGATTGGAGACATTCAGCTGTGTTGGAGAGACAGATTCCTCTTTGAAAGAGCTGCTTTTTTCGTCATAGGTAAATGAAAGTTGAGTGGGGTTCCCTGGACTTTTAGTGGGACTGGGAGAAGTGCCCCCAGGCTGGAAGAGGGGAGACAATGTTCTTTCACTGGAACTTCTTCGACCAAAATTTACAGGTGAGCTAAGCATTTGATACTGATGAGATGGAGAGACTTGGTCTATCTGATCCTCTCGATCGCCAGTTTCGAAAGAATGCACAATGTTCAGAATCAAAGGAGAATCCAAATTCTGACTGCCAGGACTTGAAGGCTCTTGTTGAGGTGAATCTTGTCGTTTTCCGAGTCTTGGGGTTCTTGGAACTGGTTGCTGAATTTCAAGGTATTCCAGAGAGTAGGAGGTGACACAGCCCATCTTGCCTGTTGCTGCTTCATGGAAAGGATTCAAATTACTAGGAGAATCTATGATATAATGCAGAAAGCATCAAATGAAAAACAACTAGGGGAGATTAGGTTTTTTTTAAAAAAAAAACCTCCCCCCACAGGATGCAAGCTTTAATTAAGCGAGAACGTGCTTAATAAAGGGTGAGAAAAAAGCTTTATGTAAGGACTTGGGGCTGGGCCAAACCCAATTCCTAAATATGAAAATATACTACCATAACAAAAATGTAATTTACAATGTGCTACTACTCCTTTGTGCATACTTCTGACTCCCCAATGACAAGTGTGTAATTATTTTCGGACTAAAGACACACCTGAACTTTGTACAAAGTACAAGTACCGTATTTTTCAGAGTATAAGGCGCTCTGGAGTGTAAGGCGCACATTAGGTTGGGAGGAAAACAAGAAAAAAAAATCTGCTCTGTCTACCAGCATCCATCGGTATTCATCTGGCTAGTCTCCTTGCAGCAAACAGCCTGGTCAGCTTCAGCACATTATCAGTGCCTGATTCAGCATGAGCAGCTGATTGGCAGTTGGATTGGCCTTCCGGAATACCGCCAATCATCTGTTCCAGGCTGTGGGGATCGCCACAGCGCATCGCATTTTTGGCCTACACACGTTGTATTTTCAGCCTCTGCACACCCCGTTTTAGACCTGTCCCAGACTGCAGGGATCACCATAGCACATCGCCGCTGATTGCTGCCTCCGCGCATCACATTTTTGGCCTCCACGCACCCCATTTTTGGCCACTACGTATCTCATTTTCTGCTGGTTCCAGGTGGCAGGGATCGGTGGAGGCAGCGATCCCCATCACCTGGAACCAGCCAAAAATGTGACGTACAGAGGCCAAAAACGGAGTGTGTGGAGGCTGAAAACACAGCACAGGGAGGCTGAAAATGCAACACGGGAGGCAGCAATGTGCCAAAAATGCAATGTGCAGAGACCGAAAACAGACAAAAGGTGGGGCCAGCGGGTGAGCGGGGCTTCGGCAACATTTGGTGTATAAGACACACCACAATTTTCACCCACTTTTTTGGTGGGGGGAGTGTATCTTATACTCGTAAAAGTACAGTAGTTATCCTTCAAATAGTAAAGCCCTATTAGTCTGGGAAATGCTACAACCAACAAAGATAACACTTTCACATACCTTTTTCAGGCAGTCCTCCATGACTTGCTCTTCGATCACTTAACAGAGACTTCATCTGTGTTGTAAGGCAGGAGGAAGGCTCTTTGTATGTTGGCGGACTTTTATCAGATTTCTTCAGGAATGGATGAGAAAGGTCATCCTTTGCGTCTTGTTCCTTGCTTTTTTTGTCCTTCAAAATTAAAGCACACATAAAATTGGTTTGCCAGAGGCACTTCAGAATCTTTAAGAACTTTTTAAAAACTTTATCCAGAGTTCAAAAAGTAACAGATCAATGGAGATAAATATATCATATCTGCAATTTTCTTGATCACATCAAAATGATTTTAGGAATCTTTCAAAGCCTTATTTAGAAAGAACATTTTTCATTTGCAGGCATTGACTGTATTTATTTTAAAATATTTTAAAGTTATATAAACTTTAGATAAGAGACCCACAACAATTGAGAGTGGCAAAATTTACAAAAACAATAATAAAACAGTAAAATTGTAACTAATTAGAACAGCAAGTAAATATACAGTACTTACTGAAGATCCTCTTAAAATTGTCTTTTAGATATATTTCTTAAAACCTCTTTTGTCCATTATTTTGGGAATTTAACTTTTACTGTACTAATGATACCATTTAATGCAGTCTTTCATATTCATGTGAAAATTATAGAAATTGAACTGTTTTTAAAATAAATATATATACACTGCAATTTTAGAAATTGTTATTTAAATATGTATTTTGGGAAAACTTTTCTTGGGTTTGCTCATGGATTGCCTTAGTAAATCAAAATGATAAACAAAAACAATTTTTATGATCCTCTTTCAGATTTTTCCCCTTTTTCAAGTTTGCCAATTAATTAGTAATTTAATAAATTTATATGCCGCCCAATCCCGTAGGACTCTGGGCGGCTTACAAAAACAAGAAAAAGGATAAAAGTTAAAAATAGAAAAAGAAAAACAAATTTAAAAACAACATTCCGTCTAGGTGGGGCTGGACCTCGTTCATGGTCAACAGCCCAGGCCTGCTGGAATAGCCAAGTTTTAGTGGCTTTTCGGAAGGCCGAGAGAGTGGGAAGGGTCCGGATCTCTACGGGTAAATCGTTCCACAGGGCTGGAGCAGCTACAGAGAAGGCCCTCCCCCGAGGGGCTGCCAGCCGGCATTGTCCGGTCGACGGCACCCGGAGAAGGCCTCACAACCTGTGAGATTTTATTGGCCGTTGGGAGGTATGTGGCAGGACAAATAGTGGAATGAAGAAAAAGAATAGAATAGAATAACAGAGTTGGAAGGGACCTTGAAGGTCATCCAGTCCAACCCCTTCAAAAGAAAGGGTCTTCAAAAGAAAGAAGAAGTTGGCATTGAAGAAGTCAAAAGGGACTCGGCTGGTTGATTATCTAAACCAGTGTTTCTCACCTGTGGCCACTTGAAGACGTGTGGACTTCAACTCCCAGAATTCCCCAGGTGGGCATCTTGACTGAGGAATTCTGGGGGGTTGAAGTCCACAATCTTCAATCCGCCAAGGGAAAGAAACCTTGATGTAAACTATACATGGACCTTGGGTATATCATGGAGGTTTCTCTGTATCCTTCCAGCTGTCCAAATTTCTCCCCAATATCCAATTCTTCTTCTTCT